TATATAGTGTTTTTTTTAAATTTTTCAATTACAGTTTACATTCAATATTTTTTTTATCAGTTTTAGGTGTACAGCATAGTGGTTAAACAATCATATACTTTACAAAGTGTTTCCCCTGATATTTCCAATACCCAACTGACACTATACATAATTATTACAATATTATTGACTATATTCCCTATGTTGTATATTACACCCCGTGACTATTTTGTAACTACCAATTTGTACTTCATAATCCCTTCACCTCTTTTACCCAGCCCCCTCTGGTAACCATCACTGTATCCTCTGTTTCTATGATTCTGTTTCTGTTTTATTTGTTCATTTATTTTATTATTTAGATTCCACATATGAGTGAAATCATGTGGTATTTTTTTTCTCTGACTGACTTAGTTTGCTTAGCACAATACCCTCTAAATATGTCTATACTACGACAAATGGTAAGATTTCATTATTTTTTATGGCTAAGTAATATTCCATTGTACATATGTACTACCTCTTTTTTATTTTTTTAAAATTCACTTGTCTTATTGATGGGCACTTGGATTGCTACCATATCGTGGCTATTGTAAATAACATTGCAATGAACCTTGAGGTCCATATATTTTTTTCAAGTTAGTGTTTTGGGTTTCTTTGAATATAGACCCAGAAGTGGAATCACTGAGTCTGAAGGCAGTTTTGTTTTTAAGCTTTTGAGTACTCTCCATTCTGGTTTTCATAGTGGCTATACCAATCTGCATTCCCATCAACTGTGCAAGAGGTTCCCTTTTCTAAGAATTCTTGTTGTTTGTTGATTTATTGATGATAGCCATTCTGACAGGTGTGAGGTGATACTTCATTGTGATTTTAATTTGCATTTCTCTGATGATTAGTGACATTGAGCATCTTTTCATGTCTATTGGCCATCTGGATAGCCTCTTGGGAGAATTGTCTTTGAATACATTGATTTTACACTTTTGATTCTGGTACGAAGATTCTTAGGGAAAATGTCTCTCAGTTTCTTGAATCAGAAATAGATATTTTTATATTTAAACTAGAGCCCGGTGCACAAAAATTTGTGCACTCAGGGGACGAGGGGGGTCCCTCAGCCCGGCCTGTGCCCTCTCGCAGTCTGGGACCCCTCAGGGGATGACCACCTGCTGGCTTAGGCCCACTCCCCGGGGGATTGGGCCTAAGATGGCAATCAGACATCCCTCTGGCAGCCTGGCAGCCCTCGGGGGATGTCCACTTGCCAGCAGGGAGCAGGCCTAAACTGTAGTCGGACATCCTTAGCGCTGCTGAGGAGGCAGGAGAGGTTCCAACCACCACCGCTGTACTGGGAGCCATCAGCCTGGCTTGTGGCTGAGCAGAGCTCCTCCCATGTGAGAGCGCCCTGACCACCAGAGGGCAGCTCCTGCATTGAGTGTGTGTCATAGTGACCAGTCATTCCCAGTTTTTTGGCTGTTAGGGTCAGTTTGCATATTATCCTTTTACTATATAGGATAGAGGCCTGGTGCATGGGTGGGGGCCGGCTGGTTTGCCCTGAAGGGGGTCCCGGATCAGGGTAGGGGTCCTGCTTGGGTGCCTGGCCAGCCTGGGTGAGGGGATGATGGCTGTTTGCAGCTGGTCACACCCCCTTCAGGGGGGGGGTCCCCACTGGGGTGCCTGGCCAGTCTGGGTGAGGGGCTGAGGGGCTGAAGGCTGTTTTCAGGCTGGTGGGTGACTGAAGCTCCCAACCTCTCCTTTTTTCCTTATTTTTTTTTATTCTGGGATTTATTTACCTTCTATGGCTGTCACTGGAACTGAGAGCCAGCTTTAGCTCTGAGGCTTGGCTCCAACTCTGAGACCTCGGCTGCCTGAAAGCAGGTATCTGGGTTTGTTTGGCTTCTATAATTGAAACACTGTTGCAACTCCAGCTCTGAGGCCCGGCTGGCTGAAAGCAGGTTTCTGGGGTTTGTTTAGCTTCTATAATTGCAACATTGTTTCTTAGAGTGCAGCTCAGAGGCTGGCAGTGGCAGGCGGGGAACCTTGGCTTCCTCCATCACTGGAGCAAGCAAGCCTCCTATTCGCTTCAGCTGCCTGGCTGCTGGCCGCCATCTTGGTTAGCAGTTAATTTGCATATCACCCTGATTAGCCAATGGGAAGCGTGTCGGAGGTACGGTTAATTACCATGTTTGTCTATTATTAGATAGGACTATTTTTTTTATTTATAGTTGTCTAGTGGATCAGTTCCTGATCTTATAGAACTTATAAATTATGTTAGAGTGTGTATTATGCTTTTTTTCATGTGTACTACAGAAAGCTCAGAGCAAAGTTGATGGTTCTTTTCTAAGTACATTATATTTCTTAGAATGAAGTTTCTTACCCCTTTTTTGTCCAAAGGAAACATTAAAGGATATGCAAACGTAAACTGGTCAATCTTTTCCTAAACCACACACTGATAGAGAGGAAAGAGCAAACTCTTGCCAACCAATGGAGACATGTCCTTTAAATTTCCTCTGGCAGATGCTTAGCAAGGCTCTACTTGCCTATTTTTATTGGTGGAAAGTAAAGAAACTTAGAAAAATGCTTTCATTTTATTAAGCAGACAAGTTCAACTTTCTTTAGCCCTCCCACCAAAATTCATTGCTGTGTCTCCTTTGAAAACTCAAGGCCTGTTAGTTGAAACTTTGAGTCTTTGGAGTGTCTTTTATCTATCTTATTTTCTGGTTAATCAATATGATTACTTTAGAGATTTAAGTGGTGATTTCCAAAGATAGATCTTAATAAGTCGTGCTCTCTGCTTTTGGATACCTGAACATCCAAAAAGTTAACGACAAAGAAGTGTAAATGAATGAGTTATCATTTTCAAAGTAAAGAACAGCTACAGGAGCAGGTACATACACTAAGTAAAATGCAGAAGATTGCCACAATTCAAAGCACAGAGAATGCTAGCATATAAACCAATATTTGTTAAAATAGAGCTTTGAGAGATACCTAAACTATAGTAAATAGTAGATGCATTTCTGAGAATTGGGCTTAGTTCTGTTTCTTGGCTAAAATAATAAGAATTAGTTGGTACATATCACATTTCCGTTTATGTATAAATGATTTGCAAAATTGAGTTAACGTCAAACTCATCTGTTTTTTGTTCCCCCTGTCCCCTAAGTATAAAGATGGCTGTTTGGAGAAAGGAATTACGCTGCATTGGTTTGGAAACCAATGACAAATACACTAAGTCACCTGTCATGTTAAACAGCTGGTTATGTGCTCCCTCCACAGGGTTACATGACAGCACTTTATTTTACATCCTTTAAACAAAATACATATGGCTGACTCAAAAAATACGTTTCTGATCTAAAGAAAACTATATATTTTTTTGCATAATATTTCTATATTTTCTCTCCTACTGTGGAAACTAGAATACACAAAAAACTGTTGACTTTAAAAGTAGACACTAGCTCCCAGGAGTAACCTGTCGGGCACCATGAGAGTCTTTTTGGTGCAGGAATGGTAAAATAGCCTCCAAAGTTTGTTATTGGCTTTTTTTAAAAAACTGATCTGAGGTAATAAAAGACTTGACAGAACGAAATCTTCCAATGTACTTAATAAATAGACATGTGAACACCTAAGACCTCGCATGAGCTGTCTCTCCTCCCCCATGTTACAGACAGAGAAAAGGTCACTGACGCAGGTCACCTTTACAAAACCAAAATCCAACGTGGTTGATTCTGTAATAACGGGATGTGTAGGGAGCATGTTTCTTTCCTCTCCCTGCCTTGGCCAGCTCAGGTGAAAGCGGGAGAGGGGGTGGCAGCCAGAAGAAAAGGCTGGAGAAGACAGGTTCGGGTGCCCTTCCTCTCATGGATGGACATCTGGCAGTTCACAAGAGCCTCAAGCCCTTCTCCCTTCCCCCATGGCGCTGCAAAGAGGGGCAGGCTTCCCCAGCTATCCAATGGGAGGAGGGAATTGGCAGACACGAAAGAACCCCCTGCTCGGAGATAAAAATGGAGCTGCTGCCAATGTGGCTCCACCTTGTCCCATGAAGGAACACTTAAAGAGCTCCTACTGAAGTCCCCAGCTCCTGAGAGGCAGGTGAGAGGGGATGCTTTGGGCAGTGTTCAGGGAAAGAAGGCACAGGGCTTTATTGTGCAGCAGGCGAGCACGCTCTGGAGAGGGGCTTGAGTGGGGCACAAGAGGGGAAGGTGGGGAGGATGGAGGGGAGCTCTGCAGGGTAGGACTTTTGCTCCTTTCAGTCAGCAAAATGTCACTGGAGCCTCCCACTCTGGATTCATATTTTCAAAATCGAAGTATTTGAGGAAGGTTGGGACCTTTTCAGAAACAGGACAAGTTAGGGAACACAGCAAAGAGTAGAGTTAGACAACTGACGGGAATATCAAAGCTGGGACCCAAGCTCAGATCCTAGACGGCCCTTAGGCCTCTCCCAAGGCTTCTCAACACTCACTCCCCCAATAACCAGGTCCTTCCCTGGAAGAGCCTTGGAAGATGGTTTTGAAAGCAGCAGTGGCCACCCCAGGACTCCATAAGAGTTGGCTTTCATGGTCTGTCTGGTCCTAGACATGCCAGCTCCTGGTCCTCGATACCAAAGCTCAGTTCGGAGACAGGGCCATCTCAACAGACTCAGTTACCACCACTTTAGAAATACAAGAAATCTCAGGGTGATGGTAAAAACTACATACCACACATGTGCAAGCTTCATGGTCAAGGTTGATCTCCCTAGCACGTAGACACCACAAATACCTGACAAGTGTAGAAGTGTAACCGATAACAGCAAGAACACATTCTTACCAGCTTTCAATTGCTTCAAAAGACCCTGTTAGCAAAGAAAACCTATCTGCCTCTAGAACTAAATCAACGGTTCCATAGGGGCCAGAAGGAAGAATGGTCAAATTTGACTTAATTCAGCCAGGTCCTTTCCACTTTCTTAATCATCACAACTTTTTAAAAAAAAGTGTAGGTAAGGAAGACAATAGTTAAGAGAGAGTGGAGAAGTTTGACTGGAAGGGTAGAAAGAGCTACAGGGCTTTAGGTATAAGCTTTCAAAATGGGAAAACAATTTTAAAAACAATCACTCTATAGGCTAATTCCATACATTCCATTCCTGCTTCCCACACATTTCATTTGAGAATATTTGTCTTGCTGAACCCTCAACTGAGGTTATAAATGACACAGACTGATAAGGTAAAATCCAGAAGTCAGGAGATGGCAACATAAGCATGAATACTGGGGAAGAATTCAGTTGGAATGAATGCTAAGAAGATCGTATCATTTCTTTAAAAATGACAACTGATACACTCAAGGAGTAGGTTTTAGTATTCACTACCCGGCAGGGGTTTGACTAGGTCCTGCTACAAACCCCAACTCAAGTTTAAGTTGAAATCCTTAGGTATGTTCTCTTGCCTTTCGTGGTCAGGTAGGGCTCACACATACTTGGGAGCAGCTGACATGACAGCAAAAAGTCCCATCATCATCTTATAGATGGGAGAGATGAACAGGAAATAGAAAAAGCAAGAATGGGAGGCAGAGAATGAAGTTCAGACTGATGTCTCCAGGCTATGTAGAGGGCTGTCAGAGTAGGAGGGAACAATTTGCACCTGGCTGCAATCCACGGCATTGTTGTTTGTGTTGGCGGATGGAGTGACCTCACCATCCAACAGGAGCACCCTAGTCCCAGACTTAGAAACCTTTTCAAAAATTTTCTCCTCTTGCTCATCCAGGAGTTGTGTTCGTGGCCCCTCCTCATCTATGGCTAATTCAGGGTGGGTCATGAAGTTGTGGATGGAGTTTTGGTTCTTGGGTGTCTGGATGCTTTCATGGAGGGAACTATGGAATGCTTTGACCACTTTGATCTGAGTCTGGATACGTTTCAGACCCCGGAACCAGAGGATCTGGCCTCGGCGTAGCTCCATCTCCGCGTGGTCAATTTCGTCTAGCCCCTCTGCATCCCTGGTGATCTCCTCCTTGGCAGTGCCATGCCCGGCCTCCTTCAGGAACTTCAGGGATTGGGTAGGTATTGTGGAGATGACCTGGCCCCACAGCAGTTCTCCGATGCCAATGAAGAGACACCAAAACCACTGGGACAGGCTGAGCTTCGTACAGCTGAAAGGCTTACCCCCAAATTCCACGATGATAATCTGGCTGATGAATGTGCCCAAAACCACAGCACAAAAGATGAGATTACGGAAGATGCCTCCAAAGACATTCCTCTCTCCGTGGATCTTGCGTGAGTTGATTTCATTGAAGAGCTGCATCAGCACAAAAGTGTTGAAAACAATGGTATAGTGCTGGCTGGATGGGGAATGCAGAGGCGCGTTCCTCCCACTATCAATGTCAAAGATTTTCTCACCGGCAAAGACAAGGAAAAAGATGATTGTGAGCTGATAGACCGCGTGGCCCAAGATGTTCTTCATCAGAGTCCGTGAGATCAGAGGCTTATTTCGGCCATAGGGGCGACGCTTCAACAAAGAATCGGTGGGGGGCTCTGTGGCCAGGGCCAGTGAGGCAAACGTGTCCATGATTAGATTCACCCACAGCATCTGCACAGCTTTCAACGGGGAGTCCTGAGTGATGCAGGCTCCAGTGAAGGCCACAATCACGGCCACCACATTGACAGTGAGCTGGAACTGCAAGAACTTGGAGATACTGTCGTAGACGTTTCGTCCCCACATCACTGCCTTCACAATGCTGGTAAAGTTGTCATCTGTTAGGATGATGTCTGATGCCTCCTTTGCCACATCTGTGCCTGCAATACCCATCGCAAAACCCACGTCCGCTTTCTTCAGAGCCGGCCCGTCGTTGGTGCCATCACCTGTGACTGCCACCACCTGTCGCTGTTCCCCAACCGTGCTGTCAATGATGCCTTTCACCAGCGTGTGCTTGTCCGTGGGGGAAGATCGCGCCAGGACTCGAAGCTTAGGCCAGATCTTGTCCAGCTTTTCTTGCTCTACCTCGCCCTTCTCGTTGCGAATGAGTCGGTTGAACTCTTTCCCTTCCAAGCACAGGAAATCGTCCCCAGGTGCTATGATGCCACATTTGGTGGCAATGGCCCGGGCTGTGTTGATGTTGTCCCCTGTCACCATTCTGACAGTAATGCCACTCCTCTGCAAAAGAGTTAGGTCACTTGCGTGGGTCACAACTGGAAGCAGAGCCAGTACCCTCGTTCCCGTGACTCCTGGTGGCTTCCCAGTAGGTCACATGGGGCCTACACGTGGGCCAGAGGCCACCGGAAGACTCCCACTCATGTGTTCTTGCCCTTTCTCCAACCCAACGTCTCACCTCTGGGCGCACAGGGTCCTCGATGCCCACCACTGCGATGCAGGTCAGTTCAGTGAGGATTTCGCTCTCATGGTCCCACGGGGGCTCTACGTCATTGAAATCTCGATAAGCTAAGCAGATGGTCCGGAGTCCCTCACTGGCCATGGGCTCGATGACAGTGCGCACTACCTCATCTCGGTCCTTACTCTTGAATGGCACTGCTTCTCCGTTCTTGTCCAGGATGCGATTACACTTGCGCAGAATGATCTCGGAGGCGCCCTTGCTGTACATGCGGTAGCCGCCGCCGGGCTTCTGGATGACCGTGCTCATGGACTTGCGCACTGAGTTGAAGGTATACACCTTGTAGAACTTCTCCTCGGGCACCTCACTGCGCACGGCGTGGTAGTCCTGCTTCAGGGCGATGACAAAGCCCAGCAACGAGCACTCTGTCATGTTGCCCACCTGCCGCGGCAGGCCCCCCTCCTTCTCTGGAGGCAGGATCCTGGAGGTGTAGGCACTGTTGATAGAAATGCCATTGACAAGAAGGTCCAGGACCTTAGGCACCAAGACATCAGGGCTTGGGATCTGACGGTAATGGGTATTTCCGATGTAAGCTTGTACCACAGTCATGCGGTTCATGGTCAACGTGCCTGTCTTGTCAGAGCAAATGGCAGTGGCATTGCCCATGGTCTCACAAGCATCCAGGTGCCGCACCAGGTTATTGTCTTTCATCATTTTCTTCACAGAGTAGGCCAGTGAAATGGTGACAGCCAGTGGCAGCCCCTCCGGCACAGCCACCACCAGTACAGTGATACCAATGATGAAGAACTTGACAAAGTACTGGATGTAGATGGGGGTGCACTCGGCTAGCCATGGCTTGCGCTGTATCACGAAGTTGTCAATCACAAAGTACAGAATCAGGATGAGAACGGTGACAGCAGACATGATTAGACCAGCTTTCCCGATCTGGACAGCCAAGCGCGTCAGCTTGCCCTGCAGCACCGACTTCTCCTTCTTGGGCAGCTTGACCACCTTCTTCTCCTTTCCCTCATTGTCGATGCCTTCCTGGCTGTTGAGTGGCTGGATTTCCAGGGCCACCCCATCCGGAGCCTTTGCTTTGTTGTGATTTTCGGGGACTCTTTGTTTTTTACCTTTCTTCTTCTCCTCACTGGCCCCCGAGAGGGTAAAGATGATTCCAGTTTTGGAGTTGACACCCACAGCAGTCACTAACATCCGGCCAGAACCTTCCATGACATGGGTCCCTGAGAGCAACATGGGGTCTCTTTCTAAGGATTTCTTGACATGGTCCGATTCCCCAGTCAGAGAGCTCTCGTCAATCTTGAGATCATTTCCCTGGATCAGGATCCCATCTGCAGGCAGCAGGTCACCGTATCTGATTTGGGCGATATCACCCACCACGATATCAGCCACAGGGAGCTGGATGATGTGACCATTTCGAATAACGGAGAATTTCTGTTCCTTTTCAATGTGGTTCTGCAGCCCTTGGAACTGCTTCTCTTTGCTCCAATCATTGAAGGCCGTCACTAGCACCACGATGATCACCGAGAACAGAATGGCTGCCCCCTCGATCCAGCCGGCTTCTGCCTCCCCTTCGTCCTCTGGGCTATTGATAGGTAGACCACACTGTTCATTTTCTTCACCATGGGGACGATAGAAGGACAGAACCAGGGAGATGATGGCTGCGATCTCCAGGATGATGAGGGTGACATCTTGAAGGGCTTCCCACACTAATTCTAAGAAGGTCTTGGGCTTTTTGGGAGGGATTAAGTTCTGTCCAAACACTTGTTTACGTTTTTCCAGATCCGCTGGGCTCCCGGATAGACCTTCCACAGGGTCGGTTCTCAGTTTACTGCAGAGATTCATTACACCTCCATGGTGGTCATTGATCTGGATCAGAGCATCCGTCGAACGCAGCTCCATGAGCTTCCTGAGCTCCATGACTGTGCAGCCAAAGAGCTCCATGACTGTGAGGCCAAATTCCTTTTCACGGCTCTCAGCCGTCGAGTTGGCCGGCAAGGCATGTTCTGTGGTGTTTGTCATTTTGCCTGCTGTTCCCAAGCCCTTCAGACGCCCTCAGTCAGAGCAAAGGCGGAGCTCCCCTTCAACTGATCAGGGTCTCTTGCTTCTCTGCCTACTTCCTGTTCCTTGCTTCTGTGGGAGCCCAGTGAGGAAACTGATGGACTCTGTCTTGGTCCTTTTTCCTTAGGAAGCTTGGCAGCAAGAAGAGGAAGAGGACGGGGGAACTGAGTGAAAGCTGGACCATGTGTCACGATGTTTGGTGTCCCCAGGTGGCGATAGACCGTGGTCGTCCAGGGTAGGTAGGTTCCTAGCTCAGAACAGCTTGCCCAGATGGAAGTGTAAACAGCATGCGCACGTTACCATGGAGGCAACCTTAGCAACACCCAGGAACTGCGATGGTAGAGAGGCAGCAGGAGAAGGAGGAGGGCTCCCTGGATACCAATGACAACTGGATCTCTCTCTTTCTTTCTAGCAAAGATCCAGGCTTCTGCAAGCAGCACTCTCCCTCCGGGGTTCCATGGACAGGGTAGGGAGGGGGTGACCACTCGTCTCCCCAATGAGCAGCCACGCTAGAGATTCCGGCTTGCTCTCTTGCCTTTTTTTTTTTTGCAGAGGCCCGGGTGCGGGCTGGTCTCCTCCGCCGGCCCTCCTGCCGGGAAGGACCTCAGGTTCCTGGAAGCAAATACTTCGGGGGAGCTGGGCTGTTGCCCCCGGTCTTGCTTTCCTCGGAAGGATGGTTCCCCAGGAAGTTCGCGCCTTCCCCCTCAAGCCCCAGCTCGGATGGTCTCAACGGCGGAGCTTTCTTAAGGAAACGCTTGTCATGGCAACAGCTTCGGCCAACTCGGACCGACTCCAGTCCGCCCGCCCCAAACTCATTTGTTTTTAGGGGTTTTATTTTACACACTTAGACTACTTAAAATAACTTAGAATTCAAAACCAAATAGGTTGGTTATGTGTAGGATACGTAGATCTTTTCATATGTTTACTATTGCAAATGATAATATCTGTATTTGCTTCAAATAGGAAGTTTCATCAGCTGATGTCCATTTTTCTTATATGATTTGATCACTCACACTGGGCTCTGGCGTAGGTAGTAGGTTTTGGATCTGTTTTCGAAATTAACATCTTGACATTTGTATCTGTGACAGACATAAAGTAAAATATGAAATCCTCAAGGTTTTCAAATATAAGAATACCAGAATATATTTTTTACAATATCTTTTCTAAATGTTTGAAGTCTGTGTTGTCTGCTTGACTATCACTGACTTCTGGCAGGGATGTCTTATGCTGGAAAATTTACCTAATGCTTGCTGGTCATCTATATATATAAAAGCCTAAGCAACCAAAGGACTGAACGACCGGTCGACTGGTCGCTTTGATGCATACTGACCACCAAGGGCAGTCACTCAACGCAGGACCTGCTCCCTGGCATCAGTGTGCTCCCACAGCCAACCTTCCACAGCCCTATCCCCTGGCCAACCTCCCATGGCCCCTTTCCCCAGCCAATCTCCTGCGGCCCCAATCAGCCCCTATTGCTGGCCAGGCCAAGGGACCCCACCCATGCACGAATTCATGCACCGGGCCTCTAGTTTGTATATATAGTCCAAGGAACTGGACAAGGTAGGAGACTTGTTAAAAGAACAATAAGAATCAAGGGAGTCAATTATAGGAAACAATAATTATAGAACCCTGGAGTGGATTCTTCTACAAAGAAGAAACTTAAAAGAATAATTACCATGATTGTTATCGAAGTGGTTTATTGTTTTCCTCATATTGTTTATACATCATCCCTCATTGGATTCTGTCATTGTATCACCAAATTATCCCTCTTTGCAGCTATGTGCCCCTTTCTAGGGAAAAATCCTCTTACTACTGAGGAATTCTGAAACAAACTAGAATTGAAAGGAAGAGAGTGACCTAGGATATGGCTAAAGCCCATCAAAGTAAAACAGGGATCGTGACATTTAGATCTTGTTTTATTTTGTCCACAGAAAATGAACTGGTAGCAATGCTTTAGAGCATTCTGCAATGTCAAGTGAAAAGCGGAAGTGTGAAATGTCAGCCTTCCTAAAGACACTGGCCTAGAACGTTTACTCTTTTGTCACCCTCTGTCCTTGGTGATCGCGGGCAGTCCCATGGCTCTCAATGTGTTCAAAGTTCCCTGAATTCCCTGGGATGGTGCTCCACTGAGAGCACCAGGCTGGCTATGTAAGTTAGATATTTAAGATATATCTCAAACTTCACCTGTGCAAAATGGCACTATTTTTCTCCCACACCTGTCATCAGCTCTATATTATTCCTTCTTCCTCTAGTTTTTATGGTCATGGTAAATTGTACAATCAGGCCCCCATTGTTCAAGCCAGAATATTACAGTCATGCTCGACCCTTCCCTCTTCCTGAAGTATGACAACAATATTTGTCTTATTTCTGATTCATTCTCTTTTGCGTCATTGAGATCCACATTGACCCTTATTTGACTATAATACAATCCCGGTACCTAGTCTCCTACAGTCTCCCTTGCTTCTTCCAATTCTATTCTCCCCGTATTAACCAGAATTATTTTTAAAATGAAACAAAAAAAACAAGCAAACAAAACATGAATTTAATTATGCCACTGTGTTGCTAACATTATTTATTTTCTTATTCGAATAGAATATTAAAAAAACCCCACATTTTCTTATTTTAATTACGATGAAACTAATTGTTGATAAATGTTGAACAACCAGCTCTCCGGGGATAAAAATCTCTGCTTTGTAGTGATTACCTTACCAATTTCCTTTGTTTCAAATCTGCCACCCATTTCAAGATACCAAGGTGATGTCATTGCAAGCGCAGTCGGAAAGATGTGTGCAGCAGCACTCCATTATATTTCTTTCCCACCATTAGACACAGTATATGTAAAATAGCTAATGTGACCATAGGAAACGACAGCAAAGTAATTTAGGAAGTGGTGATCTTTGAGTATCGATTACCTTTGTTTCCCATACGATTTAATTGTAATTGAACTAATTTAACTTTTAATAATGATTGTTTAAAAAGAGGCCCACAATATTCCTCAAAAGTCACTCATCAGCTCCTATAAGCCAGCTTGAGAAAAACTTCACCCCATTGAATAAAATTCAACAATTTCTCTCTGGAAAACCATCCTCATAACCTGGTTGCTGCTCCTCTCTCTCTGTGATCATCTCACGTCTCTGAATCCCCCTTTTCCAGATTCATTCATTTCCTTTCTGTGACTGAAGCATGGCAAACTCTTTGATTTCTTGGACATTTTCTGTCCAAGGGGACTTGAGTGGATGCTTTTTGTTGAAATTGAAAAGAATTTAGGGAAAAATAATTTATTAATATCCCAAACTTGGGATATTATATCATCATATATATTATGCATATAATTTAATATTTAATTTAACCATTTATCATAAAGGGTAAGGACACCAAATACATGATGACAAATCCACATGTCTTTGATTTCATTGTAAGAAATGCAACAATCTAAAAATTCACAAAGTATAACAAATATTTGACAACATGATGATCTATTTTATTGTCATTATTTAAATATATTTTATCTTTCTTCTTTTTTTAATATATTGTATTGATTTTTTACAGAGAGGAAAGCAGAGGGATAGGGAGTCAGAAACATCCATGAGAGAGAAACATAGATCAGCCGCCTCCTGCACACTCCCCACTGGGGATGTGCCCGCAACCAAGGTACATGCCCTTGACCGGAATCAAACCTGGGGCCCTTGAGTCTGCAGGCTGACTCCCTATCCACTGAGCCAAACCGGCCAGGGCCCTTTCAGTTACTTTTTAAAAATTGAGATATAATTCACATATAACATTGTATAAGTTTCAGGAGTATAGCCTGTTGATTTGATACATTTATATACTGGAATCTGATTACCACTACAGTGCTGTCTAGCACCTCCATCATATAACATAATTATAACTTCTTTCTGTGGGGAGAACATTTAAGATCCAGCCTCCTAACAGCTTTGACGTATATAATACATTATGGGGAACTATAATTACAATGTCGTGCATTAGACCTTCAGAATTTATTCATCTGCTAACTTCAAGTTTCTACCCTTTGACCAGTATCTCTCCAATTCTCCAAACCCTGATCCCTGGTTAGCTGCCATTCTACTCTATGTTTCTATGAGTTTGTTTTTTAGATTTCATATACAACTGATATCATACCTATTCATTTACTCAATCCTATAATAGGCACAAATAACCGTCAAAATCATTATACAAACTACATTCACAGACTTCTTATATGGAATTTAATTTTGGTTCATTCCAAAGATATCTACATATTGAGAATCAACTCTGTGCCAGGAAACATTCTAAGCCTACTAAAATGTGTTATCTTCTATAAATTATATAACCATCTGATATCTTGCAGAGTTCATTATTGTCTCTAGTCTCTAGATGAATTAATTGAGACTCTGAGTCTGAGAAACACTCAAATGCACACAACTGAATGTGGTGATACAAGATTCAAACTTAAGCTTTGCCAACAACTCCAAATTCTGTTCTCTTTTCAATAATCTCCACTTGCATTCATATTTAATCACGGATAGCAAGCATAATTTTTAAAATGTATAAAAGCACTAAAACTTACCTAAATAAACATCAGCAATTAAGTCAATATCTTTGCACTAACTACAATCCTATTACAAGGAAAGGTGACAGGAGTGATGTCTCATAAAACCACAGTGACAGACCCAATTTTTTTTAATCATAAAGACATATAGTTTTCAGAAGGTAAAAATATCCAGCACATGAAAGAAAACTATTAAACAGAAATTTATCCTGGTCTTTGGATTTCTAATCACCAATTGGGTAATTTTTTGAAATTTTAGTTTAATATGCTTCACAAAACTTGGCAACTACAATGTGACATGAATGCATTTAAAACAGATTATCTTTTTGGATTTAAAAATGAAACAAGTGTAAATATTTAATATAGCTCTGAGCGGCTCTTATGTCATGGTTGCCATCCAAGTATGTACATAATAAAACAAATTAAGAAATCCTGCTGAGACACCGTCCACAGAACATGTGTTAAGAGAAAATTAAAAATGGCATAATATTAACAACTCGAAGAGAAATGTATTTTTTAGTTCCAAAATGATGGTGAAGGTCAGTGAGTTTGGAACTATAGCGCTTCTCTTTTCAAAAAAGTTTTTAAATCTAAAGGTCATAATCTGTTTGTTTTAATTTTATTAATGAAACTGACTTTTTGCTGTGCTTCCACCCCCACAGTTTACAAAAGAGCGATCTAATTAGAACCAAATAATAATAGTAATGACAAATTCTCATACTTACGAGGCATTTAAAATTAGGGAAATGGGTGAAGTAAGAAAGAAATGTATGCAATATTAGGCTTATTCTATCCATTATATTATTTGGTGTTTCAAACAAAAATGAAAGGAACAGCTACCAGATTGTCTATCTTGCTTCCTCTCACCCCCCCTGCCCACCCCCCCCACACGCGCGCATGTTTACCTAGCCCACATTGCCCAGCCTCCCTTGCAGTTAGGATAGCCAACTCTTGAGCAAAACGAATGTGGACCTCTTCTAGGTCTGGCTCACAGGAACCTCCCATGCTGAGTTCCATGTCCCTTTTCCTTAGGCCTACTTGATGCCCTTAAGTAAAAAAATTTGGAAGCTATGTATTACAAAAAGCAAAGCCCAAAGATGGAAAGAATCAAAGTACCTTGATCTCTGAACTTGGTATTGTGTGAGAAATCAATTTCTATTCCACTAAGCCTCTGAAATTGGAGGACTTGATTGTTACAGCACCTATCATTACCCTAATAATATTATCATTCTCATTTTAACAGCTATGG